TCTCACAGCTTACAATATTCCGTGGTGCACGAAAACTTTGCCACAGAGGTGTGCATCTCTGCCAGAGGGCAACATTGACTTGAGTCGAGAAGAATAATAAATGGTAAAGGACAAGAAAGGAAAATAAAACATTAAAAATTAACTATATGTGAAAAGGAAAAGACCTGAAATTACAAATATAACCAAAAGACCTTTAAAGATATTCTACAAAAAAGTAAAAGTTTTTTTTCTTCTATTTCTTAATTTTAGTTATTTCATTGCATTGTACGTTGATGATACTGATATGGTAGAGAAAACAAAAATAAAATATAAACATTTACCTTAAAAAAGGTTCTAGAGATTATGCAAGTGAAATACGAAAACTATACGATGAAGAAAAGTATTTTAATGCTTAAAATGAAAATCACCTTGCATTCGATTTATTAAGAGTTTGAGTGCAAGTAACTACAACAGATAACATATTTTTAGTAAAAACACTTGATCAAAATGTCATTCTTGTGTACAAGATACTTATGATCTTTAACAAAATCTCAACAGTTTTTCAGGGGATACATTAAGAAATCTTAGAGTTACAATATGTGTTACTGTACAAGTGAAATTCACGACACGCTTTCCACAAATTACAGGAGCCCGACACAGAAGGGTTAAATCCACACTAAAAAATAATATCAAATTTAAATGGAAACTAGAAGTCCTCTACAGATCAATATATATATATTTGTTGGAGAAACACGTCACTGCTTATTTTATAACACAAGTTCTAATTCCTTTATCGGCATATGATGTTATAAAGGGGGTTCAACTTAAAGTGACCTTCAGACATGTTGAAGTTTGGCAACCTTTGGATTAATGAACTTTCCAGAATTCTTCTTTTGGCATAATTTGTATTTGCTTGGCTGATTCCTGGTTTATTTCATAATCAAATTCTCTTATGTGTTATTTGTTTAACCATTTTTTTTGTGTTCCATGGGTCTGGTATTTAAATTTCTACTCATTTCACCAACATAAAATTGTTCACAAACTTGCCAAGGGACTATATAGATGCCCTGTTTTTACTGTTTCAAGCTGCTGTTCCAAACTTTTGTTTTTTGAATGACTACACTTTTCGATTTTATACTTTTCTTAAGATTCAACATGGTGATGAGTGCTCTTTTTAAACAAATGGTCTTATGCAGTTGTTTCTATTTCATAAGTTTCTTTTTCCTTACCTGAACAGAAAGTTGTGTTTGTAATTTGTGTATCTTTTCTTGAGTCTCTGTCTGAACCTCCAGAAGACGTTCTCCAAGTTTTTTTATTGTTTCATCTTTTGCCTCTAGCTGAGACTGAAAGTACATAAAACTTTTCCTTTGTACAAAATTAACAAAAAAGAGACAAATGAAATATTCAATTCAATTAATTCCAAATAGTAAAAGCTTATCAAAGAATAAGATGCTCTGATATTGAAAGCTTCTTTTGTTTTGTTAAAACAAATTATATAAATCAGCAGCTTAACAAAAATCCAAAAGCAGAAATATGGATGCTAGTAATGTTATGTTCTCTATCCTTTTCAACGAAACAGAAACCTATGGATAGATATCAAGACATCCTTATAGAAAATTTACAGAGAATTAAGTATTTTAGCTTATTGTAAGAAACAGAGTATCCGAAGGTCACTGGATGAAAAAATAAAACGCTAAGTTATGAATAAGCTTACAGAGGGTATCCTAAAGGTACTATGAAGATGAATGTAATCAGGCTGTTAGGGACTCTTGATGTGTTTGAAGGATCTACATGGTTAGGTTATAGACTTAAAATACCATTTATTTTAAATTGGTTTCTCAGAAAATTTAGAGAACTGAAAGTGAGTGGATGGATGCTTTTCAAACAAATTAGTAAAACATCTGAATCTTATAAACTGGTACTCTTTTGAGACTAAATTCTCAGACACTGAGGAGTTCACTCTCACCAGCTTTAACTTTATACCACATGCTAATACCTGAAGTTGGGATGACCATTGCAATTTGACACTGCGGTGAATATTATGACAGCTTCCAGTGAAACAATCACCACTGAAAGCTACAAACCTCCAGACAGCTTATTCAAATCTACCCACACAAATCCAAATCACCAATTTGTAAATGAAAGTTAATGCAGCATATCATGCTGAAGTTTGAAGGTTCCTGTCTGACAGTACTCCTATGTTTCTAGCAATAGGAGGTTTCAATGCTAGACAACCCACTTTAGATGCTGGTGAAAACATTAATGACAAATATTTACATTCCTGTTTTTACAATACAGCCACCAATCTTATACTACTAAACTCAGGTGAACCACAAAAATTGCTGAAAAAGAAGTAGACAGAGATTCTTGTATAGCCTTTGCTTTTGTTAAAGTGTTATCTTTACCTGGTATAGGGAACATAGTGCCTACAGTGATCAACTCATGTGAAAGGTGGATGAGAAGGAAAAATTGTATAAAATAATCTAGAAAATCCCTACAAGTGTGCCATGTTCTGGTAGTGCTTGAACTTCTTCAAGTATTTCTCCACTATTGAGCAAAGTCAAATAAACAATTTGTGCAATTGGTGGAATAATGATATTGATAAAGCCTAAAAAGCAAGCAATCGAGCCCAAGCTGTGTTCATGCAGATAAGGCATGATACAGCCTGAGCAAAGGAAACAAAGATTGTACATCAAATAAATCTAAAGGTGATAAGTTTCCTCAGCACATGACATGAAATGGAATAACATTGCAGCAAGGACAACCTCACAAACACATTAGTTTGGTGTTCTCACAAGCTTATGGCTTGTACAAAACTAAAAACATAATGATGTAAGTTATTTCTGTACAGATAAAGACTAAGGAAAGGCCTTACTGCTAAGATACATTAACTGATGTGACCACTGTGACATTCAGAAAAAGTTCAAGCAACAGGAATCTTCTAAGCTAAAACTACATGCTGATATGGAAGGCATCTTTAGCTTGAACAAAATACATAAAACCATTAATATATCTAAAGATGGAACTGTAGGTCAAAATGGTGTACAAATCTTCACCTTTTAAGAAGAATATTACAGAAGTCAACCTGTTGAAGTAATAACACAGCTGGGCAACAGGTAATATTCCTGAAATAGGAACTGATGTCTTGATCATATCCTTACCAAAAACCCATGAAGGATCACTCCTATACAATACCATTGGAAGAACACCACAGAAGGCCATAACTACAAGGCTTGTCTGTAAGACTAAACCATTACTTTCATCTTCATTATGTTGATAATGCAGTGGATGAGAAACATGGATTAAAGTGGCTGAATTTGCAAATAGTTTATGGGAAGGCTTTGAAACTGGTTAGAACACATTGTCAGTAGCTTTAGATCAAGAAGATGATTACAATAGAGTACAGTTGCCAGTGTCTTGCTGTCATCAAATGCTCAAACTAGGCATCAGTGTAACATATGTAAGAAGGGTTGCAGCTGCATTAACTACCAGAAGATCATTATAAAGCATGAAAGCTGGCAATCACATTGGATCACCATCAACACTAGTCTGCTTGAAGGATCACCACCAACACTAGTCTGCTTGAAGGATCACCACCAACACTAGTCTGCTTGAAGGAACACCACCAACACTAGTCTGCTTGAAGGATCACCACCAACACTAGTCTACTTGAAGGATCACCAGCAACACTAGTCTGCTTGAAGGATCACCACCAACACTAGTCTGCTTGAAGGATCACCACCAACACTAGTCTGCTTGAAGGATCACCATCAACACTAGTCTGCTTGAAGGATCACCACCAACACTAGTCTGCTTGAAGGATCACCACTTCTACCAGTCTTGAAGTCCAACCAGATGCTGTATACTAACATTTACTGATGACATTCTAGTTTACAGCAGAAGCTCTAGTAAGTGGAAATTGGAAGCAAAATGCAACCATCTCTTAGCAGGGTTATCTAATAAAGCCATGGCATAGAAACTGTGTATCCTACAACTGGTATGTTCTGCACACTAAACAAAAGACATGCTATTGAGGACAAACCATTACCATTCTTTGTGGGCACTGCTATCCCTCTCAAGTATCTGGGGATAACCTTTGAGAGACAAATCAACTTCACCGGCCCCATCAACACCATGTTAACCAAAACTCCAACCTGCATCAATGCACTGAAAGTTGCAGCAGGTTTATGTACTGTGAATGATCAGTATAAGTGCTACGAAGCTAGATAAGATTGGAAAGATACAAAACATATGTTTAAGACAAACCATGGGATGTACGTCAGAAAAATCTGCACCATTTGAACTGGGACATTCGAGCTCGACAATAATCCCAGAGACACCAGTAAAGTAGGGAACTGCCTGACCACCAAGATAATATGCAGAGCTTGCACTAAACTTTACGTTTTGGTAGCCAGCTAGATCACGTAGACATGACTTTTGGGTGGCCAGGTAGCAGTTAGGTATTTTTTCCTTATTTTGTAATGAAGCAACCCATAAATGAATGAATTGTACTATGACCTATAGGCTTTTTTACATTGTAATACTAACAAAGATTCATTGAAATAAAATGTCAAAAAAGGAATTTAAAAAGGAAAATAAAAACGTTATGTTGCATAAAATGGTGTAAAATGAGTTTGGTTGCTCAATTCCATCAAACAAAGAGGATAAAAACTCTTTTGACTGGTTGATGACAAATGCAAACAAATAATCCAAAACAGTAATTGCACATAGTTCTTTTTTTTTCAGTCTTTATTGAAGCATTCACTCTTTGAACTTAAAAAGCTGTTGCATCCCATACCTGGTGACTTCAGAAATTCCACTCTGGAAACTTGTACTTTGTCTTAAAAAGCAAAAGCAAAAACAAAACACAATAAATCCTAAAATTCTTGCCATGTGCTTATAGTAAAACAGAAGTTTGGAGGTACAATCAAAGGAAGACAATAAAGCATAACACTCAAAGTTAGCCTAGGTCACTCAGTGCTGGACAAGATACAAGTGTTGTTTTACAATAAATGAAAAATTACATAAAATGATGCACTACAAAACTGTAGGACTATTTTAATTTGCAAAAGAAATTATCACATTGTCTGTTCTAATTCAGGACTCCATCTGGCTGTATGATCACGGTCCAGCTGAGAAAGGTGGAAAGTGGTTAGCACGATGTTATTTTAATATCTTTTAGTCATATCAATACCAGATTTTTATTTATTTATTTGTCAAATCTCTAGTCTTCACCTTTGAGGCTGTGCCCCACCACGAATATCCTTGAATCCATGTGTCTTTTATTAAAATCTTGCTTTATCCAAACACACACACATATAATTTAGGGGCCAGTGGTACCTACATGTACAATGAGTGGTCACAAGTAAATATACACCTAATTTTTCGTCATTTAACTGATTTATGCTAACTAATTTGTGTTCATAGAGCACTATATAAATGAAAATGGTCCACACACTAATTATCTTGTGCTACAACATGCCTAGAACTCAAG